TATATCTCTTAAGCCTTGCAGTGAATGTTTTATGAGCAGTAGGATGATCATATTCATCCACAAAGTCACACAGAGCCAAAGCACAAACAAAACAATGTTGTCCCGCAAAATGCATGCAGTTTTAACCGCTAGAGGGCCAAAAGTTACACAGTGCACCTTTAACAAACACAAGAAAACACTCGGAATAGATCTCCAGAAAGAGCTAACAAAACTTTTTGTCGCAATCGGGTGAAATAACTGCTTCACCGCGATATCCTTCTTCCATCTTAGTTTGTGATTAAAGGCGCTTTCATCCCCAACAGGCGTCTGGCATTGACAAAAGCTGTCATTTCTCTGTGAGGTCGGAGTGTGCCAGCTGACAGCTGCAGGGCTCAAGCCTTTACCCGCAGTCCTGACGCCTGCCAGTGCAACGCCAGCGCCCCGCCCCAGTGCAGAGCCCATGTCCCATAACATAGCCATTGTTCCCTCAGACCCAACCATGGCCAATGATCATGGAGATCAATGGGATAATGCAGAGGTGTAATATAATATTCATTTAATTCACTTCGAAAACATGCACTTAGAAAACAGACTTTGTCATATTATGTATCATAATATCTCGTTGCATAGTTTTCAGAGCCATTTAAAAGTACTTTTTGTAGTTTTATAGTATTGAAAAAATCTATTGGCCCCAAAAGCTCAGTTCCATGTGGCAAAAACTAGTGACACTAAGAGAAGAAGCCTACAGTAAATGTGTTAAATCTTAAATCAATCAATAGATGATTCAAAACAAAATAAATGATGCAAAATATAAAATAAATACAAAAAACAATCAAATAAATGGACATGATGGAATGAACAAACAAACTAGTAAACAAACATTTGAACAAAATAAATAATTATTTGAATGAATGAATAAATGAATGAAAACATAAATAAACAATTGAATTAAGGAATAAATAAATATGTTGAATGAATAAATAAATTATTGATTAAATGATTCAAAACATAAATAAATAAATCAATAAATAACAGAATAATGTAATAATAGATTCAAACATAAATAAATAATTAAAAACATAAAATAAATCAAAAAGTTCAAATAAACAAACAAACAATGAACAAATAAACAGACTGATGATGGAATGAATGAATAAATAAGTAATTGAAAAAATAAATAAATGGTTAAATGATTGAAGGAAAGTGATCACGTGACTGTGATTACAAGAGGTAAAAACAATATAAATACTGTTCGTTTTCTCACACAAACCGCTCGTTTCATGTCTTAGGCCATCAGTTTGTACTTACATTTATGAGTCATTAAGTTATGTTTAATTTGGACTTCTGTGCATGCTCTTTGAGGTGGTGACCATAGACCTCCATTATATGACTGACAGACAAGAACGGTTTGACCTAAAAATATCGAAATTGAAACTACTGCGGAAACAAAGACACCTACATCTTGGATGCCCTTAAGGTAAGCTAAAACATATCAAAAATTAATTTCAAAGTGAACTATCGCTTTAACATGGAACTCTCAACTTGTTTGCCACAAACATTGCTGTAAATCCTTCAGTTTTGTGAAGTGTTTGCTGTTCAGCAGTTGTATAGGCCGCTCACCCCTAACTACACCCTAGCAACGTCATAGCAACACCCTGGCAACCACTCTCACACACCATTGTGGCAGTGACTTCCATTTTCTTCAGAAAGACTAGAACTGTAGCTTTTACACACTATATTCTGTTTAATCACGCATTCAGTTGTTGTAGTCCCCCACACATGTTGGTAGGTGCAATAGCATTTAGCGTAAGTGCTAGACTAACACATTGCCTGTTCCTTTTCAACACCTTCACAATGTGGCTCTTCCTGTGAGCTTGAAGCACAAGGGCTGGGTGGAGGCCGATTGCAAAGGTGTGTGGGAAAATATACTTTCAAAGCTTTGATGGTTAATCTCCATACAACTTTAAAAGAAAACATGACAATATACATTCAATTATTGTGTAACAAAATAAATTACTCACCCAAATGTTGTTTCAAATTTCTTTTCGGTGAAAATAAAGACATTTGTTTATATATTTTTAAGCGTATGGTTTTGGGACGAGGTGAGGGGGAGTTAAAACTGGCACGCTTTGAATTGCGTGGTGAAATATCCCTTGAGTTAATTAAAAACAGGGTTATGATACCGTTTAGTCACATTATGATGCATAATGATTTACAGGAAGAGTGAGTGAGTGGACCGGTGGAATATCTTTCAAGACTTGCTTTCTCATACTGCCACCTAGAGGTCAATGGTCATATTACCTTTCGGTCTTGCCAAGTAAAGGATTTTGTTGAATGTAAAGTTAGTCTAACCCTATTCAATCATGAAAATCATCACTAGTGAGAATGAGACACGTTATGCAATATACAACGCACATGTGAAAATGTACAAATCTTCAATAAATGCTGTGCAACTACAATTTCTTGCTTAAAAATATGTTAAATAAAATATATGAAACCTTCCAATGGTTAAATGCTGTTTTTATTGTGTGTTTTAATCCTTTAAAGCAGGCTAAAAGAGGAAAAGTTACATATCTGATAACCAGTTGTTAGGCTAGGCTACCTGTGTTAGCATCATAGTCTTTTAGCATTTCATATTTATTCAACTTTAAAGGTGTTTTTGCTTAAACAGACAGTGTTTTTGAATTCATTCATGCATAATTCAGTCCGAAACTTTAATATGGCCCTCTAAAGTTTTGTCCGTCCGTGTGTTTTGATGAGATAGTATTACAGGCTGTAATCCCTCTCTGTAGCCTTCGGGTCAGTGCTGGGGCTCGAACCCCCCAAGAGCACCACACTGCCAACAGCTGAACCAGCAGGGGCCAACCTGGCGTCTTCCCCCTGAAAACCAGCACTGGACACGTACACTGTCTCCCACACACACACATACGAGAATATGCCAGTGAGCACTAAACTCAGGACACATGAAGCACGCACATTATCCTGTGAACGTGTGTGTGGTCTAAGGCCTAATGTTTTGTCATGGTGATAAATAATGATAATTGCAAAGCTCCCCCAAAGAGCAGTGATGCGGAACACACACAGGGTCAGATATTGCGAATTACAGCAGATACACATATACGGTGTGATAAAAACAGTACTAGGAGTTGATAGGAACTGTAAGCAGTTGGTGTCCTGTTATGTCTACCCATAATTGTCTATGAATGGTACATTGCATAAAGCGATACGTGGTTAAATTATTTTCATTTAAAGGCACTATATAGTCACGAAAATGGATAGATTGCTATCAGCTGTCTGTCCTTCTATCCATCGTTCTAATATAACATCATATTGTCATAAATAGAAACATCATATTGTTATGGGTCATTTGTGACATAGACTGTGGTGTCCTGCAGGGGGCGACAGTGACCCGCCCATTTCTCATTAATCACTTTCTAATGAAGAAGAACGTCGTCGTCAAAATAATAATCATCATTTTCAGGTGCAAAAATTAATTGAATTAAACGAGTACAGCTACACTTCTGATTTTACAGCTAACATCAAACTTTGACGAAGTAGATTCATATAGTATTTGTAAAGCGTGATTTAAACCAGTCTAACTTACACGTGTCAATCATCATCTAATTATATTAATAACACAATTAGCATTTTAGCTAATTGGCTAACACGAACGAGTGAAAAACACTTTATTGATTTAATGTTAGTTTCTACATTTACTGATATAGAAGATCAAAAGTTGTATGTTAACGTGAAATAACATGAACATTTTATTAAACATGTTGTTAACGAACATTAAATGCTGCAAAATGTATTCTTCATTGTTAGTTAATAAATTAGGTAATGTTAACAAATGAAATGTTGTTGTAGTGTTATCACATACATGTATGGTGACTTGATGTAAACATGTGTTATTCAAAAGTGGCGAAATCAGTTTTTAATTTGTTAAATTCACCATAATAACTTAAGATAACTCGGTATAAGTGTGTCATCTCTGTATGGAGATTTACTTCAATAAACTTAAAAATAATGAAGTTTCTTACACAATCTGAAGATCTATTAATGTATTATTGTATGACTGAAATGATGTTAGAATGAATTGCTGTTACGGAAGTCAACTTTAATGCCGATGGTTAAACTTCAAGATATAATTGTTAGAATTAAATTGAAATAAAACCATATTTTTCTTCTCAAGCTGCAGTTTACAGTGAGAGGAGAAGCAGATCAGCATCAGTGAGTATCTGAACTCTTCACCTCAACATCAAATTATGAGTTATGAGTGACAGATCAGTGTGTTTCTGAGGCGTACAGGAAGTGATGTGATTGTGAATGTGTTTCAGTGACGTACAGGGAGCTCAGCATCAGACAGATCTATGAGAGATACATTGGAACAGCTGTAAGAGCAAACACACACACACACACACTAATTCTTCTTCTTCTACTTCAGTAGTGTGTTTTGGCCCCTGATGCTCAGAGATTTCTTCTTTCTCAGGCTCCGTATCGGAGAGTGAGAGTCGTGTGCAAACGCCCTGCTCAGAGTAACAGAGGAGATGCAGGACACAAACGCACACACACTCATCACAGGGAGAGGTCACAGGAACACAGAGACACACTGCTGTACCACAGGGTGAGTGAGACATACACACACACACACACACACACTTACCGCGACCACAGAAACCGAAAACTCTTGTTAAAATCTTAACCGTTCTATTTCATCAGAAACGATCTTAAAATAGGGCTCTTAGTGTAAAATACCGAACTTGTCAGAACAACGACTGAAGATATTAAGGCTCGTTTACTGAATCAAAATAAAGCAAGTTTTTGGTTAAAACAGGAATATGGCAGATATGTGTTCTTGTTTTCAACTCACTTTATTTGATGCATTTTTCAGGAAACTAGTCTTAATATCTTCAGTTATTGTTCTTCTCCAGTAAATGTGTCTTGATTTATGAATCAGCGATAAGTGACTGTGTTTTTCCAGTTTCTCCAGCAGGAGGCGCTGTATTTCCACAACACACAGCATGAGGATCGACCACAGGAACATCTCAGGTGAGACACACACACACACACACACAGTCTGGCCTTCAGTCCGTACACTTTAATCATTCATTAATGATTTCTGTATTAATGCTTATGCAATAGTGTATATAAGCACAATCACTGCATTAAAGTACTTTAACTTGAACACATTTTGAACTGAGCTTCTCATCAGTGATTAGCATCTCTCAGTGATAAGTCGTACAGAACACCACAACAGATCAGCAGAAAAAAATAGACAAATCTGTCCATAAAAACAAATTCTCATGATTTCATTGACAGAATATACAGGCATCAGTGTTAATTTACTATCATCCATATACTATCAGTTTTTCTTCATATTTTTATATATTTGTTTTCATTTTCTAATTTTAGTTGAAATTTTAGTAACTTTATTGTGTTTTTGCCATTTTTTTAAATAAGTCTATATCGTTTTTAACTTTTATTTCGGTTCTAGTGCTTCAACGTAAAGTTAATGAAAACGACAAATGTTGCTTTAGTAAGTAAGTTTAGATTTTTTATATATTTTATTCCTATTCCGTAGAAGTCCATATGATTCACTTTCTCAGAGTCATTTACCAGTGCTTTGGGAATCGGTTTGAACGAATCACTGAATCATTCAGAATGATTCATTAGCGAATTGGATATATACATTGGATTATATATTTATATATATATATATATATATATATATATATATATATAATATGTATTATAACACATTTATTAAACTCCTCTGTGTTGTGTGTGTGTTTGGGTCTGAGTTCAGCGGTGGCTCGTTTACAGCTGATAACAAGTAAATATTAAAAGTGTTATTAAATATTAAAAAAATATTGAATGTGAATGTGGAAGTGAATTCCAAAAATATAACAATAAAACCTAATTCACACATTGAAATAAAAACTATAATAGTATATAAATATAATCAATTTCAAAGAAACCTGAAAAAAATAAAACCTTATTCCAAATAAAAATAAAATATAAATCAAAATAAAGCGCAATTCAAAATATAATAATATATGAATAACATTAAAATAAATTCTAAAGATGTAAAAATAAATCCCAATTAAATATAATGAATAGGATCGATAAGAGTGTATCAATATCTGTACCTGTGATGTGTAATAGGAAGTTCAGGTGACATCATCACGTGTCTGGTGGTCTGTCTGGCCAGAGGTCAGAGGTCAGCGCCCCGTAGCCCCACAGGCTCCAGAGAACTTTAAAGCCTGGCTGAACTCCTAAAACAAACAATCAAATTAGAGGTGGAGGAGAAACTGAGGGTTTGGCCCAACTTACCCCGCATCAGCCAGCAGACACCTTCCTCTTTACAGCGCTCAGCGGCTTCATCACAGCACAGACACTATTAAACTGTGTTTCTTCAGCGATTAGGACCATCACCAGTGCAAATGCAAATTAATTACATAAAAATCATACAATGTGATTTTCCAGATTTTTGTTTTAGATTCAGTCACTCACAGTTGAAGAGTACCTATGATAAAAATTACAGACTTCAACATGCTTTGTAAGTGGGAAAACCTGCAAAATCGGTAGTGTATCAAATACTTATTCTCCCGACTGTGTATATATATATTATTATATAATAATGGGTAAAAATAAATGTAATATATATATATATATATATATATATATTATGTCATCTCCTAGAGGACAGGGTAACCTTTGACCTCTGACCCTAGTCTCCATCCTGCCACTCCAATAATAATATATAATTATATTATTATTACCCTGTCCTCTAGGAGATGATATTATATATATATATATATATATATATATTACATTTATTTTTATCCATGGTACTGTTGTTTTATATTTGGTACAAGTACAAGTGATTTACAAGAGTACAAGTGAAGTACAAGATTCAAGTGTTTGCTTATTTGAAAGCTAAATAAATATATATATATATTTTAAATATTTAAATGACCTGTTGCAGGAGTGGCAGGACGGTGACTGGGGTCAGAGGTCAAAGGTTACCCTGTCCTCTAGGAGATGACACACTGCTGCAGGCCATCATGAATCTGGACCGAAAGTGAGCAGCACGTACACACACACACACACACACACACACACACTTACACACCCTTGCTCTTATCCATGCTAGGCTGCCTAGAACAGAACCAGACCGCCAAATCTAAACTGTATGCTAATTGTCAATCGTATTTGACAATTGTGGTGCTGACAGAACTCTTGTTGTGTGACCAGGGCTGATGGTGATGGTGTCAGATCCAGATTCAGATCAAGATTCAGATCGGCCGCAATGTCAGTCCCCAAACATCAGCTGAACACCAGCGCTACTCACCCCGAGAACCAACCAGGTCAGCTAATAACTCACATTACAATTCCCTTCACAGATTTAAATGACTCAAATTCACCAATTTCTCCAGCTTTTCTTTCGCTCGCCTTTCTATCAGAACACTTGATGCTACCAGATGTTTCTAGGAAGTTTATAAATCCCTCTCCAGATCAAGGTTATCATCAATCATTAAAACTAAAAGCCATTAAAAGGATATTTGGGCTCTTTCTCATTCGGGCAGCTTCAGGTCTTCATGTTAGTTGGTTTAATTGGATGCGTCCAGTCACAGGACGTCCCAGTTAAGAGTCTTTTTTTAGCCTGTGAACTTTAAAGTCATTATTTATTTGGTGTTAAGAGGGTCAGCTCACAACAGGCCTGTGTTTTGTTCCCATCATCATCACTCATACAGGAGGAATGTGTCGCCTCACTTTTACAGACACAATAAAACGTGAGCCAACAGAAGCCGTTTCTTCTGCCCGACTGCGACGCTCATTAACGCACACATGAAAGCAGGGAATGTCCACAGACGTTGGGTTTGTGCTGGGATGCAGGTCCAGAGTGTATATTTATAAATATATAAATAAATAGAAAAATATACCAATTAAATAACTAAAAATATTAAACAGAGTAGAGCTTACCTGAGAATTTAGGCTTACAAATAAAAGTTATGTCATTTAAAATTTTATTTTTAAAATAAATAAAATTAATAATTTAAAAATATTGAGTATGAATACAGCTAGTTATATATAAAAAAATATTGAATTAAAAATTATATATATATATATATATAGTATATTATTACAGTGAAAAAAACAAACAACCTAACCATATTTTTAACTACCGGTAATTGAACTCTTTAAATAATTTAGATAATGTTTCAAATATGCTTTAAATGTAGATACATTCGAATCTTTACTATTAAGAATGTGTATCTTTCCAACTAAAATAATACGTACAATGCTTAAAATAATAAAACTTAAAATTAAGTCAAAAGTTTTGATCACCCCAAATTATCAAATAAATATTCAGTGGTAATTTGATGGAGCTGAATTTTCTGTTTCTAACTAGGCACATTAAAACATTTTGCGTGTGTGGACAAATAAATTCATGACTTTGATATTTGATATTTTTGAATGATATCTTACCAAACAGTTTTCCCAAACGCTCCCTGTCTTCCAGCGCTCAGCTTGAGTCAGAAGCAAGACTCAATAAAACATTTTTTATAATTACATTAAAAAAGCATCATGCTTTTCAGTTGAAAACCCCTGGAATCGGTTTGAACTTTCTTTGCTCTGTCATGTTTGTTGTTTGTAGACGTACGGGTGCCTGTAGAGAGACACATCTCAAACATAAACACGTTTCTCTGACACGGATGATGTTTGGCAATTCATTTATACAAGGATGTCTCTGATATTGTTTATGATGGATTTTCTTTCCTTTTCTGCTCAGTTTGTCTTTGAAAGATTAGGAGTTATAAAAGCAACTGTTTCTCCTGATGTTCTTCTGCAGAGAAACTCAGGCCATCCAGGGATCTCTCTGGAGGATCCACAGAAGAGTCTCCACACGCTTCTGCATCAGCCAGCAAGGTATCGCTCGCTTCTGTTCAGACATACTGAGCCACAACAGTTCTGTTATCACTGTAATCAACTTCCACCGTGATCTAACTAGTCGCGATGCCGTAAGATTACAGCCACACCTGTCCACACCAGATACGACAGGACTAGAAGACGCAACAAAAACCTATCACAAATCACAGCCAATCAAAAGAATGTGTGGGCGGAGTCTCTCTGTACTCAACCAAATCAATCAAAAATCACAGCCAATCAGAAGAGCATTTGGGCGGAGTCTATGCAAGCACACTGCACTTGCAATCAAATCAATCCTAAATCACAGCCAATCAGAAGAGTGTGTGGGCGGAGTCTCTCTGTACTCAACCAAATCAATCAAAAATCACAGCCAATCAGAAGAGCATTTGGGCGGAGTCTATGCAAGCACACTGCACTTGCAATCAAATCAATCCTAAATCACAGCCAATCAGAAGAGTGTGTGGGTGGAGTCTCTCTGTACTCAACCAAATCAATCAAAAATTACAGCCAATCAGAAGAGCATTTGGGCGGTGTCTGCAAGCACACTGCACTTGCAATCAAATCAATCCTAAATAACAGCCAATCAAAAGAATGTGTGGGTGGAGTCTCTCTGTACTCAACCAAATCAATCAAAAATCACAGCCAATCAGAAGAGCATTTGGGCGGAGTCTATGCAAGCACACTGCATTTGCAATCAAATCAATCCTAAATAACAGCCAATCAGAAGAGTGTGTGGGTGGAGTCTCTCTGTACTCAACCAAATCAATCAAAAATTACAGCCAATCAGAAGAGCATTTGGGCGGAGTCTATGCAAGCACACTGCACTTGTAACCAAATCAATCCTAAATCACAGCCAATCAGAAGAGTGTGTGGGCGGAGTCTCTGCAAGCGCACTGCACTCGCAACCAAATCAATCCTAATCACAGCCAATCAGAAGACCGTGTGGGCGGAGTCTCTCAACAAACCCACTGCACTCGCAACCAAATGTACAAGTATACAATGAAATTCATACACATTACACCTTTTTAACATTATTAAAATACATACCTAGTGCTTGAAACAATACACTTGTTTGTTATAAACCTTCATGTGCTGGTGCTTCTAACCAACTAGAAACCAACACACTGATCTGAAGAACCTGTGATGTGGCGTTACACAACTCAAGAACCCTTAACAATTTTTTTTTAGGGTTTTTTTTGTTCGATCGTTGGTCCGATCGTCCCCAAAATTGGCACACATCAGCAGGGACAGAGCTGGCAGAAAGCTATCAAAAGAAATTTGAATAGTCAAAGCATTGCAAAGTTGTACACTAAGTTGTACACAAGTTGACCTAGAGCTGCTAAACGCAATGTCTAAGCTTAACCAAACTTGGACTGGAAAACAAGACAAAAATACTGAGGAAGAACATTAATTTTTCATTAAACATCCTAGAATCCACAACACAGCTGTTTATCAGAGTTGACCATGTTCAGTGGAATAAATCTCCTCTGTTGCAGATCTTTTTTTCCGACCTGGATGTGATTCCCGGTTTGGGTGGAGACCCGGAGGAACCGAGAGTGGAAGAACAGTGTGCTCAGGCCATCACACACAGAGCGCGGGAGATCGAGAAGGTGCGTTCGCCGTGTTTATATGTTTTCCTTACTTTCCTTTTGAGTTTCGAAGACAGAAAACTAAAAGTGAGCTACAGTCAAACCAACGATTACATTTCTCACATTTAGGGATGGGCAACGATTAATCGCATCGAAAATAAAAGTTTGTGTTTACATACTATATGTGTGTGTAGTGTGTATAATTAATTTGTATAAATAAATACACACACATGCATGTATATATTTAAGAAATATTTGCCTGTATATACTTTATATATATATTTACACATAATTAATATTATATATAAATATTTGATATATTAATAACACATTTTTCTTAAATATATACTTATATATATATATATATATTTCTTAAATATATATTTAAGAAATATTTGCATGTATATACTTTAGATATATTTACACATAATTAATATTATATATAAATATTTGATATATAACATATTTTTCTTAAATATATACATGTGTGGGTATTTATATATACAAATTAATTATACACGCTACACACACATATATTATGTAAACACAAACTTTTATTTTCGATGCGATTAGTCGCGATTAATCGTTGCCCATCCCTACGTCACATTATCAGTTTATTCGCTGTAGTTTAGAAAACGGTAGTAAAATATGAGCAGAACTCAGTTGACATTTGACTGGTTTTGTCCGTCCTTCTGTTAGACTCTCACACATGAATTATGTTGAATATCTGTTAAATTTAACTCCACAATTAGATAATACCAGTTTAGCTCAACCAGTGACCAAGCAATAGAGCATTAGCAATTACAGAAAACACACTTCAGCAGAACATCATCAATCAGTTTTGGTCCCAAATTTATAAATGTTACTGTTAGTCACTGTATGAAGAATATTTGGGTATAATATGTCAGTTTGCTTTATTTTGCTCTCCTCCTCACTTACATAAATGAACTATAGTGTCAATAAGTATCAAAAAACGAGATCTGGCGTCTGAATAATTTTCGGTTTGACTGTAAAACACTACATTTGGTGAGCTGGGAATGATTTGCTCAGCCTTCATCCATCACTCCAATCGCCCTCAACGAAACACATCCACCCGGACCTATTAGACCCTCAGTGAACAAATGCCTCCTAATATTCCCTAATGCAGGGCTATTCAATTAGCTTCATTCGAGGGCCGCATTATTAAATCGAAAAGTTGAGCTGGGCCGATGGGTTTAGCTCATTTATTGACACATAACAGTATCAATAAGTAAGCTAAAAAAAAAAGGTTTTGCATTTATTTGGAAATGTGGTACCCAACAGTATGCAGACCATAATAAATAGCCTAACTTTTTTACAGCTATATACAAATATATTGAATTATACAATATCATAGCTATTGGTAAGAATTATATTATTAATAATTATTATAAATTAAAATATCCTGACAGTGAGACTTGTGGCTCACAACCACTGTATAAAAAATGCCTAAACAGGTAAACAATTATACACACAATGAATTATATATTCCTCTACCCCCCTAATAAATCTAATGCAAAATAAATGACTATAACATAGTATTCAATATAAATATTACACATTTCTGCCCAAACCATGGTAAATTATTACATTCATGGTAAATGTTTGTAAGGGTGGTGATTAGGGCATTTATAGTATTCTAACTTTGTTCATGATTCTGCTATTTACCTCATCAGTAGTGTTGGGAATGTTAAGGCTGTTTCATCCGATTTAAAACTAGTTAAAATCATTGAGTGATTTGTGGTTTGTAACAGAGAGGAGTGTCCGATTGAAACGCTTCTCAATGGATGTCGCAACGCTGTTTAATAATAGTGTCCGGGAGCGGGAGTAAACGCAACTCCTTTAAGCTTGCGTTCCGTTATCCACTGGCCCGTGCTGCTTAGTTCAAAGTAAACAAGTGAAACAACTGAAACCAGCGCTATTTTGTTCTCTATGTGTTCTTACTGACCGAGAAACCGCTTCAGATGATTCAGTGACAAAACGTTCCGAACGAATCCGAATCGTTTCTGACTGTTATACACGCGCGTTTGGCCAATTCATGAAAAGGAAATAGGAATCGAACCAACGAATGATTAATATCGTTGGTTCAGTCGAGAGAAATACGGGACACACATAATAACTGCTGAAATATTCGGACTGAAAACGTTTCTCTCAGGTCAGTCGGAGCGCTCATACACACAGTGCGTATAGTCATCCAGCTGCACGCGCCACTGCAGCCACGCGCATATCAAACCAAATTTAGCCGCACCACCAGAAAATAGGAGGGGGAGGTTGGAGTGCTCTCGGGCCGCATGGAGATGATTGGCGGGCCGCACTTGGCCCGCGGGCCGCCAATTGAATAGCCCTGCCCTAATGTGTTCCAGCCCTCGAATAATTGCCCCCCGCTCAGTGATTGCAACAGACCTCCGCTTGTGTGGAGTGTGTGTTCGGGCACGACGCTTCACTTGCTGCCACAGTTTTATTTGTAACGTGTTACAGACCATTGCTTTCCCAGTGTGTTGTACAGTTCGGTCTCCTGTTTGTGTGGTCCTGTTATCAAACACAAGCACACCGGGGTCAAACCTTTCCTCCCTTTAGCATTCACTGCTAAATATCAGCACTATAAATACAGATCCTCTCTGGGGTGGAGAACTTCCTCTGTTCGTCATGTTTCTTTTTTATTCGTCATTGTTTTATTATAATTACTTGTGGCTTTACTTTGTGGTTTACAAGATCCTGTAATGCCCGAGAAATGATTGTAATTTGAGTTGAGTGTTTATTATCACTGGGGATTCGGCTGTTTTGAAGAGACAGAGAATGATGTCATTTGGGTGAAAATACGATCGATGTCACACATTCGAGGAGAGAAAGCGCTGTGGAAACATGATGAAGACTAGTTCAGATGAAACATCAGGGTCACCCATCTCAAGTTTTGGATCGGTGCGATTTGTAAAGTCTCTTCAAGGCTGTGTTTATTTGATTAAACATACAAAAACATTAAAAATCTCACAGATCCAAACCTTTTGACTGATGGTACATGTGCCAATCTCTGATTCTAAGAGCTCAGTAGGCCGTCACACACACACACACGAGACATTAACCCTCTTTAAAGGATTAGTTCACTTTTGAAAAAACTTTTGCTGATAATTTACTCACCCCCATGTCATCCAAGATGTCCATGTCTTTCTTTCCTCAGTCGAAAAGAAATTTAGGTTTTTGATGAAAACATTCCAGGATTTTTCTCCTTCAATGGGAACCGGATGGTTCAAGTATCAAAAGACGGTTAATAACTGTTTCAGATGCAGCTTCAAATGTCTTTAAACGACACCAGACGATGAATAAGGGTCTTATCATGCAAAACGATCGGTTATTTCAAAACTTATTCCAAAAATGTAACTTTTCTAAGGAGAAATGCTAGCCTTGCTATATTCTCTGAGGCGCGTTTGTAACGTCACGTAATACGTAATTACGTTCAAAAGGTCACGGGCGACGTAGCCGGAAGTACAGAATCAAAATCGTCCGACATCGTTGTTTTTCCTTTTAATTCCTTTTTTTGTAAACGGTGTTTGAGTTAGTTTGCACGTTCAACCTATGCGTTCAACTTGTAAACACTGACTCTGTACTTTCGGCTACGTCGCCCGTGACCTTTTGAACGTAATTACGTAATACGTGACGTTGCAAACGCGCCTCACAGAATAGAGCAAGGCTAGCATTTGTCCTTAGAAAAGTTACATTTTTGGAATAAGTTTTTTTGAAATAACCGATCGTTTCGCATGATAAGACCCTTATTCATCGTCTGATATCGTTTAAAGACATTTGAAGCTGCATCTGAAACAGTTATTAACCGTCTTTTGATACTTGAACCATCCGGTTCCCATTGAAGTCCATTATATGGAGAAAAATCCTGGAATGTTTTCATCAAAAACCTTAATTTCTTTTCGACTGAGGAAAGAAAGACATGGACATCTTGGATGACACGGGGGTGAGTAAATTATCAGCAAAAGTTTTTTCAAAAGTGAACTAATCCTTTAAGCTCTGAGAATGGAGCCGGATTCGGCGTTTGAATGAGGTCGTGTGCCAGAACACCAAAACTCTCTGGATTTGCGTTGGGATCTGGGAAGTGTTCAGACATCGCCATCGGCTCCAGAACACATGTCCTCTAATTGAGTCTGAAGCTGACGGGTGGAAACCTGCTCATTACGCGCTTGTGGGAATCTCCAGCGTTTAGCCAAGTTGAGACAAGTAACCATACGTTCCTTTGGGTGAGTGAGAGATGTTTGCTTAGATGACTAAATTGTTAAAGAGGACCTATTCGTCTGTCTTTAGTGTGTGATGTGAATGTTTGAGCTTCTTCTCTATATCAGCGTCAGTGTTTCTGAACTCATTGTATCTTGAGTTTCGAACACGTCACAATATTCCTCATTGTAATAATTTATACGCAGAATAAAGGGGCGGGGCCTGGTTGAGTTAGTCATTAGTGTGTTAAAGGAGCTGTATGCAAGATATGTATTTCAATTTTCCCTGATATGTCACTAGACATTAAGAAATCATGTTCATTTTAAATACTTATCAAACTCAAAATGAACGAATCTTTTCCAGAGTCAACTTGTTCATTTCGTTCGTTGAATGAACCAAATGACACGAAAAAAGATTTGTTCATTTTGATAAACGAGTTCGAATAGGAGAGTCACGAACGCACGTCACAGAACAGAGCAGGGCGAGGCGAGCATTTGAGCTTATAAAACTTAAACTTTGTTGTTGTTTTTTTTAAATGAGCGATCGTTTCGCTTGATAAGACCCTTATTCATCGTCTGGAATCGTTTAAAGCCCTTTGAACAGTTTGCAGTTTGCAGTGAAACTGTCTTTTGGACCTTGAACCGTTTGGACCCCATTGAAGTCCATTATATGGAGATAATCCTGGAATGTTTTCATCAAAAACCTTAATTTCTTTTCGACTGAAGAAAGAATGACGTGGATATCTTGGATAACATGGGGGTGAGTAAATGATCAGCAAAAGTTTTTTTTTTTTAAAGTGAACTAATCCTTTAAGCTTTGAATATTCAAGCTAAAAATGACCGCATTCACTTTTTACGTTTGGATAGTTTTAGATAATTGGTCTCAAACCCTGAATATCTTTGTTCGTCTTGTCCCATCTCTGAGTGAGCCCAGAACTCCTCCAATCTCTGCGCTGTTTCTAAACCGGACCTGAGCGAGTAAACGCTGCGGATAAGAGGAACCAGACCTCGTCCCCTGATGGACCCACTTCAGTAATCTGAGCGCTTCTGCTTTTCCTCTCGCTCAGATTAACCAGCGAGACTCAAACCCTGAATAAATGGCCATTTCCGGTCCGGAGCGCCTCTGATTAGACTTAACCTTTGAACCTAAACCTCCATCTTAGTCGAGTTTGTGTACCAGAGCAGGTTTATATCCATCCTCCTCACTTCCTTTTCTCATTTATTTACATCCATAGTTTTGCATTCAAATAGACAGATCCTCTCTCTCGGAATTATCATTAAAAACTGTGGTAAAGTTACCAGCAAAAATAACCAGTCACACTATCCAGCTCTTCGTCTAATGCTGCCATATATAAATGTGAACGTTTTCTCCGGTTTATCTTCTTTCTCTGAGGGAATATCGTCGACTTGCTCGAGCTCAGATGTCAGAAGAGCTACAGGGGATTGTGGGGAATGAATTCATCTCTAGACCCCAAAGCTCTTGATTATAAAGCAGTTTCTGCGGATGCTTTATGATGTTGGTCGATGAAAAAAAATAAAAATGGAGGATTAACCCATCGGACCTTGTAATTTTATGCTTTTCCCCTGTTCTTTTACAATGAAGCGCTCATACTTTTTTACTGTTAAAAGATGATTTCACATTCAAGATCAACAGCATTCGTGTCAGAACATAATTACCACTCAGCCCTTCGTTTTCTCTCTTTTATTTGATATTTTTAGCTGTAAAGTGTCTAACTTGCTCTTTTAGAGGTGGGACTACACCGCAAAATATATATTTTTGTCTTGTATCTTGATTTAAGAATCCGTACTGGAAAACATTTACTGGAGAAGAGGCAAAATGACTGAAGACATGAAGAAAAAGTCATCAAAAAGCAGCAAGTTTAAACTATTAACTCAACATATTAACTTAATTCAAAGGTAAAACAAGTTTATTTTTTCTGACTCCATTGGGAGATACGCGTTCTTGTTTTACACACAAACTCAGAAACAAGACTTAAAATCTTCAGTCATTTTTCTTCTCCAGTAAATGGCGAATGTTTAGATATTTGTGCTGGGAAAGACAAAAAATGTTTGATTTTTTCGTTTGCACAAAAAAGTGCAATTTATTTCTGGTTCTGTAATTTTAATGAATTTTACAAGGCGGTGAATTCATATGAATTTAAATTATGCAAATAGGCAAAAAAAAAAAAATTTATTTTTTATTTAAGCCGCTAGCTAATTTAGCCAAAGTGCTAATGGGGCATGAGCAGATCATAAAATTTGTACAAAAATTAGATGGTATGAAATCATCTAAAGTGGCCACCAGTTCACCAAAGCGTAAAAAGTTATGAATTGCCATGAGATTGTGTTGGCAATTCCTGTAAACGGAGTCTACACATATATAGATAAATGTGGGGATGTTTACCAGCTAAGTTGAAGATGAAGTACGGTCTCTATCTTTACACTGGCAAGCATGTGATTCTGAACAATACTCACATATTTAAATCAAGAGATGAGTCGAAGTTATGCTAATAGAGCTTAACCGAACCGTTTCTTTAAAGCCTGAAAGGATGTGTTAACGTGCATTTATATGCATGAACTCCAGACCTTTCCTACAGCACAGATCACATAAAAGCCAATCGCACCTCATCCGCTGGTCTTGGACGTCACACTCGGGACATTTGCAGGGCATAATAAACCTTTTAAGCACCGTTTTTGCACGTCTTTAAACTCGGGGAGAATTTGTTGGCCTTTAAACTCTGGTGTGAAATAACTTTGCAGTTCTAACTAGCTCCAACACTTCTCCTGCCTTCAGGTCTCCATGCAAACACACCTGTTGCTGGACCTTTTCCCATAGTCTCTGGCCTCCAAACGCACGGCTGTTAAGTTTACAGCCAAATGACTTACTCGCTGGAGGTCAAAGTGTCGTTTAGTGCACAGAGAGACGAGCAATGCTAATGTTAGAGAAACCAGAGACACGTCATCACCCGCCAACAAACAGTTTTGTCCTGTTTATCATTTTCATAGATCAGCTAAATTCACACTAGACTTCCACAGAACACGCAACCAATGTATTTCCCAGAAAGCTCTCTAAATTTCCCATATTTAAATTGATTTAACCACAATAAGCTTAGAAAATATGGCGATTCTGTGCAGGTCTATTGTAGAAACGATTAGACCCGACTAATACTCCAGACTCTCTGCGTACCTCACTTTGTGTTAAGTGCTCAGATGAGTCCAACAGCTGTTCGTCTTTTCCCAGTTGTACAAACAGGACTGCGAGACTTTGGGAATGGCGGTGAAGATGCTCATATCCAAAGACCCAACTCTGGAACAGAGGCTCCTGACAGCGCTGACACAGAACCTGGTTGACATCAGGGAGAAATGCTTGGGAAACCTCAGCCAGTTCATCTCTGAGGTGAATGCATTGCTCAAAGCAAAAGAAACCAGGCAAACCAAACCATAATCCAGTAAACCTGATAAAGAAGTGCTTCATCAACTCAAACACAATACATACTAGTAGTGTTTGACTGGTTTTGACCAACCTAGTTGAAATGTTATTCAGCTCAGCTACATGTCTTAAGCCCATTTGTTAAGCTTTTACTAACAATTCAGGTAACTTTAGTTCACGTGTTAACTATCTACGTGCTTATTTCCAAATACTGCTCAGTTTAGTTCTACTTCTCATGTTTTCATGTTACTTGATACGGTTTTGAAAAGAATGTTTAAGAAGGCAACATGTTTGCCATTATAGTGTTCGGTTTTAACAGTGTTTTTAACTTACCTTTGTCACAGTATATATAGAGTGTTTATAGCTAACATATCTGTTAGATGTTTAAAAGCTTTAAAAAGCGGCACTATGCAAGTCAATAAAAAACAGTTGTGATGCAATGGTCAAAAATGTCAATCTCCATGTGTTGATCGACCCACAATAAGCCGATGCAGACACGTTCTGCATATCCCAGACTCGACTACAGAAAGGATTGATGTGGACTTAGTAAACACGAAATGTGCAGGTATATATTTATATTTATATTTATCTCATTTTTTATTATTAGCCTTGCGTTCCAGTTTGCATTTATACAGATTACAGTGATCTGTCTGCATGACCCATTAATAAAATTACACTCAAATAGGCTTTGGATTATATACGTAATGTACAATGTTTTAGTACAAATTGAGCAGAATTGCTGACCGTGGCATTACATATTTATTTTTAAAACCCTGATTAACAAAAGTGGAGTCGCTGTAAACCTTTGTTCTTTAGTATTTTTTCAGTAACATTCTTTCTAAAAATCTTTTTGAAACTCAGGGATATAAAAATATTAGCTTTAACTCAACATTTTACAATATATACACATTCATTTTTGCAAAGTTAAATTACTCTCTCCATTAGTCTCTAAAAAAGCGGCTTTATAAATATTATATTCCTCTGGTTCTTTCAAAGACTATAATCACTTATCACCTAATATGCATTATTGCAGCAAGTAAGCATGGTTTTAATACTGCGTTGGCCAAAAACATCACTGTATGGCAAGACCACTGCAATACGTCCTGGACAGAGAAACCTGAACGAGATGTATTCCAATTCAAATAAAAGCTTAAAGCAAGTGCCATAACGGCATTTGATAAAAGACATATTAAGATGCAGATCAACCGTTTCAAGCTTCCCCGCCAATTCTATGAAATTATACAGTTTTTGTCCTTTCGTCCTCTCTTCTGTTTGGACTTTGTCCTTGAGCCAATGGGAAGTTCATCAGCGTAATATTGGTACCGAGGTTGTCTTGGTTGTGGAATAGGCTGGCCCAGGAAAAAGCCTTCCTCCTCTGATTCAGATGATGAAGACGAGCAGGTAGAGCACCAGTCATCTTCGCCCCCACAGAGACGTAAAAATCTCTCTGCCCCCTGGTTATGCAAGCCGTATTCAGAGTCAGCGTGGGCATAGGGAGGCTGGCTGTAGTGAGCGTTCGGACCCGGCTCGTGCTGGCGGCGGTCCTCCTTAAAGCACATACGGGCCTTTTCTTTGGGCAGCAAGTGAAGTGCATTGTCCGAACGAGACTTACGACTCCTTCGCCTGTGGTGATGCCGGTGGCGCTGCTGATCTTGCTCATCGAAGTGGTACGCTCGTCTGCGAGTACGTTCACTCATGGGAGGCTGCCGCACGTCCAGGCCATCGTATCGTCCGTTATCTATAACATCATCTGAGAACTTTACCTGCTGAGGTTTGGACTGGGACTTGGACCTTCTTAAGACAGATAAGTGAGGTGGTTTGGGCCTCTCCTCCGGGAGCGGGACCACCTGCTCCTGGTCCTCCTTTTCAATGACCTCCACGCGCTCGAGCTCAGAGGTCAGGCTCTTCAGGGAGTTTGCGCTTCTGTGCAGCACTGATGAATTCAGCGTCCCCATGTTGCTGGTGTTCTCACAGTGTTCTAGCTCAGAGAACTGTTGTAATGAGTAGAGCAACTGTTTCTCTTTTATATCCCCATCAACTGAAGCACCTGAAAGGATCACAGAAGTTTAAATTATACTGGACAGAAGTGCCAAAAATTACATTTAATACAACAAAAATGTAAAATTCTAGCCTGGATGCCAGCCCCAACTTCACCCACAACGTTTTTTGGTTGGGAAGTTCGGTCTGGACTCGATCCATTGAGGAGTAATTATGATCAGGCAAAAAATGAACGGGCCAATCAGATTGCCAGGGCGGGCTTTATACGATGATGAACAGATGATCTGCAGGGACGTAATCATCACTTTTCAAAGAGCACTAACTGGTTTCCCTCAGAGATGACTGCAGCTGGAGAATTGAGATTCCGCTGTCGCGTCTGTTTTTAAAATTAATCGACAGCGCATTCATTTTAATAGACAAACAGAAAACTGCAATCAAGGCATTTGTCGATCGGAAAGATATTCGGCAAAAGTGTAACTTATCAGCTGGCTCTGACGGTCGCCAAGTTAAGAAGATGGGACGTAATGAAAAGCGTGTGGTCGTTGTGGTTTCTCCTTTGGTCGCACTGATGAAGGACCAAGTGAAAGAAGCAACACTCGTTATTTTACTTCTAAAATAAGTAAGTTCTTCTGTTGTTGACAGCTATGCAAAGTATTTGACTTACTGCGTTGCTCTGATTGGTTGTAGGTCTGTCCGACTATCCAATTGAGTGCAGAGTTTTTTTTTTCCCTGGTTCGGTTAAGACACGCCTCATAAATAATCAAAGCCCTATGGAGCTGTCTCAGACTCATTTTCTCAATAGAAAATGAGTATGACGAAGTCAGGCTAGTAAAATTGTACAATAGGCTTAACAAATTCAAGTTTGCCACCAAAATTACACATTTAACTTTTTGCCTAAATTGATATATATATATTTTTTAATAGCAATTTATCGCACATTTTTATCTTTTCTGAATGTCTCTTGATTTTTTTTTTGTCCTAATATTTTTTTTCTCATTTTAATGCTCTTATCAACATGGAAAAGTGGATTGGCTTGCTTTGTGCAAATGTTTTTTTGTTTTTTTTTAAACAACAATGGCGTATACTGTGTTCAATTTCACAGTAACATTCTCACTTGGAGCAAATACACTGTCCATCAATAAAAGGGTGAAAGAAATACTGACAAAGTACTGATATTGACGAGGGGGCGGAGAATTCGCATCAGCTGTGTGTGTGTGTGTGTGTGCTTGGCCATCATCAAGTGGTATTTCAAACTGGACGTGCTGTGATGATGATCGCTCAACAAACGACAAAACACTCACTTTAGTCTCATCAATGGAACCATTTGGCAACTTTTTTAAAGTAAACTTTCCATTCAGAATCTTATCGGCATCCATTTTGGCGTCTCACGCTCGTAATCCACTCAAAACATAACGTTAAGCAACTATTTGGCCGGCTAACAGACCCAAACAGGTGTGTGCGGCATGCCTGTTGTTTTGTTTAGCTAGATCCGCTTTGCGCGTTGGTCGATGGAGCAACAAAACATCCTTGCGCGGCGCAAGCCATTGAAATGAATGGGTTGAGTCCTGTTGCAAAAGCATGTGAAAAAAACTAGTTTGCTAGGCCAAAAAGACCATTAATCGCGCAATAAAAAAATGGACGCATTTAAAATGTTAATAACGCGTTTAAATGACAGCCCTAATGTATATACATACACATACACACACATCTATTCCTCAGAGTTCCCCCTAATTGCCTCACATACTTTGCACTCAGCAAATATCACTTGAACATCAATCCTTTAGTCTCACCTGTGATGTTGGAGAGCGCCAATGAGTCCACTGAGTCTCTGATGTTCTGCTCTGCTTGTTTAAGTTCATCTGTGATGCATTCCAATGAGTCATTAAACCACTGTTTGTCTTCAAGCTTAAAGCTGGCTCCATGCTCCAAATCGAGCTCCTGGAGCTTTCTGCTGCTTGCAGGTCCAGGGTGACTCCCATACGCAGAGTCACCTAGTCCATCCTGGGACTGTGCCCAGTACATGTCTGCCTTGTACTTTTTACTGGCCAGACTGCCGTTCCCACCACTGCCTGGCATCCTTGTCTCAGTCTTGTTTTTGGCATCAGAGTCAGTCATCCAGGGGTTGTTTGGCCTAGTGTCTTCCGGCTGCTGGAACATTCCATGTTCACCAAACTTGAGAAGGAGCTGGGTCATGTAGTCCTCATGCTCGGCCCATTCCTCGTGGTCCTCGGGATCTTCCTGCTCCTCCCGGTTCCTCCAGAAGTGGTTGTCTGCAAAGCTTAGTTGTGACAGCTTGTTGGACAAGGTGTCGTCAGCGTTCCCTGAGAGTCCGGGGAACTTGTAATTGCCTGCAGGTGAAAAGAGAAGAGACTGTCGACATTGGTCCGCGGAACGGCTGCTTTGTCCCATCTTCACACTGCGCCGTGATTCCCGAGATCTTGCGGACTGGAAGGCAGAATCGGAAGAATCCGAGGCGTGGACGTCCTCCCCTAGACTGCAGGTCTTGGAACAGTAGATCCTGCCTTGTCTGGGTAAAAAGGGACAACCAAGCAAGGAGCTCTTGCACTGAGCACAGCTAAAACAAGCATCTGTGGCGTGCCAGTGAAGGCCATCATACGTCATTTGGGCATGGTCCACCCCTAGAAGAAAATAAACAGGAGTTAAAGGTCAGCTTCTTGCAGGCGAAACGTGGTTTGTGGTAAATGACGTTGAGACATCAGAGAGACACATTTGGGCTTACCGATGTGTTCGCCGCATGCCTCACAGTATTCCGCGTGCAGAGACTCAAAGCAACCGCAGCAGAAGGGCCGACCATCCTTCATGATGTACCGTTGACCACCCAGGATGGTCTCGCATTCAAAGCAGGAAAAGTGCTTCATATGCCAGTGACGACCCTCTGCCTCTGTGCACTCGTCCGCAAAGATAATCTGTGAGGACGCCAATAAATGAGTAAGAGCGTCCATGATATAACATGCCTTGTCTATGCACAGTAAAAACTAAACTCACCTCATCACAGGAGGAACAGCGTGGCTTTAGCAATTCAGCATGATGCCGTCCACAGTGGACCTTCCCATCCTGGTAGAAGTAAATGAGATCAACCAGGAGCTCATTGCAGGTGGAACATGTGAAGCACGATGGGTGCCAACACTGACTAGGTCCCGCTCGTGAAGCAAACACCACCATCTCCCCTCCACTGACGTTCTCTCCACACTGAAGAGGCAAGATGTTTAAATAAAACAATCAGCTTCAAACAGTCACTTCTTGCATCGCAATACGCTTAGTCTAAACACCTACGTGTTCACACATGGCATGAAGCATCGTCCTTGGCAGCA